ACTGGAGGTCTTTGTTAAAGAGTTCGTCCAGGGATGTACTGCCATCTTACCTATTTCTGCTGCCAAGCAGAATGTAAGGGTAAAGGTGTTGGTTACATTACAGGCACATGGGACTTATGTCTCAGGGTGACGGGCGCAGTGGCAGTACCCCTCAGATCTTTGCGATTTAAAGTTCTGAGTGACACTGCACCTGTTATGGACAGGAGTGTCTTTTACCATCACTTGGCGTCATAAAAACAAACATACACCAAACATAGCTAGTATGTATTTGTAAGTTCTTTTTTTCGCTGGACGGAGAAAACCATCAAGAATACCATATATCTGGACTAGATAATATGTCCCGACTCCACTGGGAAGTGCACAAATACCTATTCCGTTTTTTTATAACACTATAATATGATTAAAACAAATTTTTATTTAGCATTCCTGCTTTTTACCTTTTTTAATTTCTTTTATTTTGGTCAACAAGCAAGTTACATACTTGTACACATCGAGTACATCTGTGCCACAATATACATTACACTTTTTGCACAAGAGTTTAACTTGGAAGAAGACAAACGCCTTCAATGTCTCCATATTCAAATTTTATCATAAAATTTGATCAATCAACTCTACAATGACTTCATTCTCCAAATAAAGCATGGCTGGCTATGACTATGGCTTTAATAATATAACAAAAGACAAACTGTGGTCAAGTTTCCAAAAAACATATCGGATACATGAACTACATCATCATCACCATTATGGGACCGTACATTTCGTATTACAATAAAGCTACACGTCGAAAGTGCTTTTATCTTAAGAAAGTTAATAATAATAAATAAATAACGCACACACTCAACATAGCCCCGCACTAAGGAAACCCTATGTCGCGGGTGCCATGGACACACACATAGACAACCACAAATTACACCCAAACTCACGAGAGAAATAATTGTAGGCCATACAACTATTTCTCCCGGCCCGGGAATCAAACCTGGGACCTCTGCGTGGCAGTCCGGCATGGTAACCGTTCGGCTACGGAGGTAGTTTATAACAACAATACGAACTACATGAAAACATAACTCATTCCCTATCAAACTAAAGACTTTTTCATAAGAAAGCATATTATTCGGTCTCAAAATTCATACAGAATAATGATCTCTAGCAAAATGATGTCGATATAACCTATATTTGTGCTTTGTACCTAATCAATACGTTTCTATCTATGGCGATAAGATTTTAGTACAATTTGCAATACCCTGTCAGGATCATGTGATACTATTATTTAGTTGTAACAAATATATTAATAATGTCAAGTGACGGGATGAACAAGTCGTGCGCCGTAGAAAAGCGACACGACTATCCAAGACAGTTGCAGTGCCACTCAGAGCTATAAATGGCAAAGATTTTAAGGGCACTGCAGTACGTCAACCTGAGACGTAGTATGACAAGTCCCATGTGCCTGTAATTTCATTACCCTTCAAACCCGGAACACAGTAATGTTCACATTACTGCTTGACGGCAGAAATAGGTAAGGTGGCAGACGGCAGACAGAAATAAACGAAAATTATTTGCAAATCAAGTATGTTTTATAATTCTCCTATTTAAACATAAAACGTTATCGACAATTTAGCTCGTAGAATCTGAAAACCTCTCTGCTGAAAAATTGTCATTTTGCAGACGTGACATTATTACACCAATGATGCGAGTCGTGTTGATTGAAAACCAAGTGCCCGTTTTCTCACAAAAACCTATTCAGCAGACAATAAAGTATAAAGTCTAATTATGGTATTAGACCGTGAAACAAGTTCGCTTCCTCTATTATATCTTTTCGACGTTATGAGTTCGTTCAGTTCAAGGTAGGGTACATGTACGGTGGGTGGGCCTTGTAAAAAATATTAGAATCACACTTATATTTTTAAAAGGAGTAGTATACTTGGTATACTTTAAATTAATTTTAAAAGAATGAGTATTATAAGAATAACTTGATTCAGAATAATAGGTTCTTCTGCTGTAGTTTTTTAAAGCTTATTCACCTCTACTCCGAGACAAAAACAACCACGCCACTTATCGATTTCAATATCGAAACGTTAGCCAATAACGCAACTATTATTGAGAAATCGATAATATGGACTCAGTTTTCATCACCGTAATGTTGTATTTGCTTGAAAAACCTTACAATTTCGCAGCTTGAAAATGTACGAAAAATTATTCGTTTTCGTCGTACAAAGGACTGTTACAATTCGGCCAATCGTTACAATCGCTGTAAGAAGCAACATCTCTTACCACTTGAAGTGCGGCGTGATATTAATGGAAAATAGCATCAAGTAGAACTAAATATTTGAGAAACAATTCTCTTTTGGTTCTACCCCCTGGCCGTTACTAATTATAGGCAAAATGAGTTTATGTGGCGTGCAATAATTTCAATCTTTTCAATACTAGTGTGATTTTGGCAAAGGGAGCACGACTGAGCATTTCTTTCACTCACAGTGAAGGTTACTACGCGGTGGTCTTTTTATGTAATAGGTTATTTAATGTAAATTAAATTTATTCATTTAAAAACTAAATGTGTGATGTCAATCCACAACGTAGGCTTCGTCAGGTAGACACAAATATAAATCAGCAACAGGCTTCGTCACATAGAAATCAATAATGCAATTTGCCAGACTTAGATATTTTTTTTAATTTTTCATTGAATTGATACTCAATTATTTTTGTGATAAGCACGGAACGAACCAGCAGACCTCAAGAATTTTTCTGTGTGCTTGTTGTCGGACCTTTGAATTTGGTTTTGAACGACTTTTTAGCCGTGACGCCATCTATGACAATTCTATGAAAGTATTTCGTCACCCAGTCAGGTAACTTTACAGCTACCATCCCTCGCTAGAGATTAAAGAATGAAAAAGGCCCACTATGAATCTTTGCTCATTCAAATGTCCCCATAACACAGGCAGCATTACCGAGCTGAATGGCCAACGAAATTTGTTGCTCCAGGTAAGATCGTGGCGGCAGAGCGTGGGTCACAAGCCTCCATCTCTAAGACGACGACCCAATTCCCTGATGAATTCCTTGTCCTCCGCAATCGAAGTGCCCGCAGTCTCGACTGCAAGTTAGTTAAATTGTGCACCTATGTTAGTCATTATATTTCTATTCGTGGTGATCTGAAATTGGTTGCTGATAAGCAATAACGCGTGAACCCATAAAAAAAACTCAAAAACTGAAATTTTAATGCCAAATTATAACTTGTTATCTCATATACATTTTGCAAACATAGACTAAGTGATTTGAAAATTCAAAAAAAATAAAGAAAAGTGAAAAAAATCGATCACAAAAGTGAATGGAATTACATCTATTTGCCAAGTTTCATTGAAAGTGGTTACCGGAAAGTGCGCGAAACCGGACTCACCTAGTTTGTTCACCCTTAGGGGTAGACTATTTTCACAAATTTAAATGAGACAAAAAACGAACAACAGAAAAGAATCATCAAAATCGGTTCACAAATAACACATACATACAAAAACATACAAAAAACATACAAAAAACATACAAAAAACACATACATAGAATTGAGAACATCCTCCTTTTTTTAAATAAAAACAGTTGATAATAAAAACATAAGTCCATTCACAAAAACGAGACAAATCTTTAGGCCCCGTCTTCTCAATCATGGTCATGTTGGTTGACACGTCATTGTCAAAATCAAATAATCATTTATTCCAAGTAAAATAAATTTACACTTGAAAACGTCACTTTTAAACTACTGCTCATTTCACTGTGCTGACTTCCCTAAAAAAGAACGAGCTAGAAACTTTTTAAAGATTGCTCTTTTCAAATAAACTTAAATGCTTTGTCGTCTTTCCATACATCTTTATCTAACACGTATACGTATTATTATTTAATTTAGTTTTAGAATAGAATAGAATACGTTTATTTGCCAGAATACAGTAATTACAAAGGTCTTAAGTAAAATTAGATACATTGTATTCAACCTGCAAGCAGATCTGCAGATATTAATAGGATTCAACGTTTCTTTAGTCTCTATAGCTTCTAATTAATGTAATGAATTTGTAAATTCAAAGTATTCTTTATTACTATAGAAGCAATGTGTCAAAAGCCATTGGCCAAGCCGTTTAAGCTGTTGGTCATCCTTTTAGATAAATAAATAAATAAAGGGTGAATAAGAAACAACCTGAAGGTTAAGTGTGGTGAAAACGCGATTAAATCAACACTCCAGTGCTTTATTAGTCCAAAGTTCCAGCCATTCTGTCCCAGGCTGTGCCAACGAATTCATATAATGAGCTGAATTACCATAAGCTTCAGGCCAGGCTTCAAGGCCGGAATTATAGGCGACGATTATATGCATGTATAAAAAATATACCTATCGGGCGCGGACGTGGCGCAGCAGTAGTAAAAATGCACATATACAGAGAACGAATAAAAACGATCTCAAAAAACATCAAAATTGTAAAGTTTCCTTCAAATACCTATAATACATTTAATATTCTTCCGATCACTTGTTTGATGGAAAAAAAAGAAGGAAAAGATGTTTATTTAGTTACCAGAAAAAACACCACAATAAGCAATGACAAAAATTACTGTGCAATAAAAAATAGCACAAGAACAGAAATTAAAATGTACACCACATAATAAAAGAAAAGAAAAAGATATTAGTAAAAACGCTAATTATTTATAGAGAAAAAACTATGCAATCACCATCATACTAATAAAAAAATTTTGCAATTCTCCAGATAACGTAAAGTAAAGTAAAGTACAATCGAAAACTAAATGTAATAAAATTTCTGTTCTCATAAACTTCTACGAAAATGAAAGGTAAAGATCCAAATAATTTTCCATTCATATTTTTTATAATATAATTGTATTTTTCTCTTGCAGATAAATGAAACCCGTCCAAAAAATGCCAAGCTAAGACAATGGCATTGAAATTGAAGTACACGGACGAGCACGGCATCCTGCACATCAACATGAGTCCCTCCTCCTCCCCGCGCCTCGAGCCCCAACCCAGCACCGAAACCGAAATGTCCGAAAAGACGGAAATTTCGGATCCAAAATTCGACACCATAAACAACAGATTCAGCAACTATGATCTTTTTGGTGGGAAATACGACGTCGAGAGTGGGGAGTTGCGGTCGTTATTCCGAAGTCGCTACAACAGCATTGAGGAGGAACTAGCTAACACACCTTACGCATTCGCTACGGAACGCTCGCTTCGTTTTAACGCGAACAGTCCTTTACTAGACATTACAATAAAATCTCACTCGGGCGAATCGCCCTCCAAAGATATCGAAGACGATCGATTTTTTAATCGCAACACCGAAGGGTTGTTTGGCTCACAAATCGATTTCGAGACATCGATCAAAACTTCCGATGAAGAGGACAGTCCTTCGTTTACTGTGACTCAATTAATACACGCGCAAGACCGATATTTCGATCTGTCGTCGCGACAAAGTGTTGTCGATAGTCCAAGGACTGAACTATCTGAGAAATCTGAAAAAACTGATAAATTAAATAAAACAGTAACTAGTGGTAAGAATAAAGAGAAAACCGTGAAAAGTGTTAGTAGTTTTCGTGTCAAAAGTGAACCTAATTCAGCTAGGAAAGACAGAGTGAAACTTAGCAGTGGATCAACTCTTAGCTCGGGGGTAGAAGCTGTTAAGGGTGCTCCGGTTGTACCTCAGAGCGTGCTCAAGGTTGTGCCTAAGAGTGTCCCTAAGAGTGTACCTCAGAGTGTACCGAAGGAAGACAAAAATGAAGCATTTAAGGTGCTGGGTCAGGCACCTGTGAAAACTTCACAGGAACCTACCGCTGTTCCATCGCCGTAAGTATACATTTTCTGCCTCTTATTACAAATCATAACATTACTTTTGGCTTTATGTACTAGAGTAAACAAAAAAAATATGTCAATATACATACTAAGTCGATTTAAGAAGAAAAACCTTATAAATATAAATCTTTATAAGTATTAACATGTGGATTAAATACAAGGTGTAAACTTTAAATGTGAAATAGATGTAGGTCATACAAATACTTTTGCCCGTCCGGGGATCGAACCCGGGACTTCAGCGCGGCAGTCTAGCATGGTGACCGTTCGGCCACAGAGGCAGACAAAACAATGCTGAAAATGTTGAAAATAATACAGAAGATCGCGCTCGTTTTTCCAAGTGATTTACACCATGCTTTAACTAAAAGGTTCAGTTTATGAATGGACAACAGTTAGTCACACAATTCTATTCAGAATATTGTGTTCTATACTGTGAATAATTCATAATTTTCTTTTCAAATGTAAGCTACGTTTTTTTCTTCATTTTTTTTTATCTAAGTTACATGAGTTTTAAGGGAAACAGTTTTTAAAATAAAATGGTTTGATACAAGTATTTAATAACAAACAAAGGACAACAATAAATTAACCAAAAATATGAATACATATTATGTATTGATTATTAATTAAATTTTATTAAAATAAATAATAATGTAAAATGAATTAATTTCAGTTTAATTTCATTTCAATGTTTATTTTATTTTAATTTTGTTTGTTGAATTTTATATTACGTTTTTTTGTTTAGAATAATTAAATAATTTGAATGTTTATTATGTTGCGGTTCCCTACCAGGGTTCATGTCTAGGTACTGATTTTTTTTAAATGTACACCATGTCAACCACATGATTGCAATAAATAAATAAATTATGAATGTATTTACTTTAATGGTTAGTCCAGGTTACTTCTATGCTAGGGTCATGAAATGGAACAATAATTATGAAATATTTGAAGTTAGAAATGTAGCAACACGCTGGAGCTTATGATACCAAGTATTATTTACTTTTGCCATCACCAATACTCTCTTTACAAGCAAATAAAAATTATTTTAAGAGTCGTCTTGCATGAAACTCCATGGAACTCAATTCACAGTAAAATAAAGTAGTTTTAAATTCAAGTTAAATATTTCAAAACAATCTTATATAACTTCATGCGAAACCTTAACGAAACTTAGAGAATTGACGGAAATGACTAAACATTAACTATATTTAACTACTAACAGGTAAACAATCGCAGTTAAACAAAGGACAGTGGGGGGTACGCGATGACAGGCAGCATTGTTACTGGTTAAAAACTACTTTTAATTAAAAGCCAAATAATCGTTCTAGTGAGAATTATTTTGATTAGGAACTAGGTTTACTTCAACAGATATATGAGACACTACACGACTTCACACTGCCACATCTAGAAATCGTACTCGGGCATAATTTCACAACGAACATAGAATAAAGGAATAACAAATAAATATCAGGAACAATTCTTTGATAAAAACTTACAAAATAAAATCAACCAAAAAGTAACAACCCGATGAGTGGCCAATAACTGGCCTAGAATTCCGCTTTGCCATAATCTATAGCGCAGAAACTGATTGAACAACCAAATACTCCTTATTATCTAACTCACTACCGCCAGAAATTAAAAATAACAATTAGCAACACCAAAACCGAACTCTAATCACATTTCTTAAATAAGTAATAGACTGATCTAACACTCACTCACACACAACACAGTATTTATGTGAAAAATTGTTGCCACTTATTCATGAGTTAGTAATACTTATTAATACAAAGATCGAATACTTAGAAAAAATTCTTTCGACTCGGCCGGATTCGAACCCACGTCTTTTAGCAAACCGTGTCAGACGCTATGCCAACTAAGACACGGAACAAACCAGCTGACCTTACGAATTTTTCTACGTGCTTGTTGTTGTATCTTTGTATTTGGTTTTTCAACGACCTTTTAAAATCTGAAATAAAATCGTTGAATGTATTTCTTACTTATTCATGAATTATTAACACTCATAATAAGCGGTAATGTGACCATTACAGCGTTCCGGTTTTCAAGGGTAAAAGTGCTGGTGATTTTACAGGCACATGGGGCTCGTCGACTTACGTCGCAGTAGGTATGACGGGCGCAGTGACAGTGCCCCTCAGATCTTTGCAATTTAAAGCTCTGAGTGGCACTGCAATTGTCATGGACAGGCGTGTGGTTTACCACCAGGGGCTCGACTTGGTCGTTCCGTCACTGAGTATCATAAAAAAGAGCACCAGAGTCTCAACAGATGGAAAACCGTGGCCTACGACACATAAAATTAAACATGGCATTTAAATACATGGTGTTTTTAATCTCATCCTAAATCGAAAACTAGAACACGATCTATCTTGCGCACAAATCGATTTAGTTAATCGATTCTCGCCGGTGGAATCGACACGGGGCTAAAGTCCCTTTAATTGGCTGTCATTAAATCGATTTAAATTAAGTTTCGATTAGCTCTTGACTTCGATATGCGTTTTCTAATGACATTGAGAAATTATTAGACTATTTGTCATCTGCCCTCTGACATAATTGTCCACTTTTAGAGGTAAATATTTCCACATAAGGGGTACTTCGCAGCCATCACAGTGGAAAATGGCCACATTTGCAAAATGATAACTTTTTTTTAAATAGGAGAGATAAATTTTCGTACAAGTATACCTAATTTGTTTTATGTACTTCGCATTATCTTAAGCCGGATACTCATTTACCGAGCGTGATAGATATAGTATCGAGGTTCTAGTGTGTGCTCGTGAAACTGTCTTCATTCGCTAGAATGAGTACCTGGTTATCGTCGGCTCTCTGCGAACTGCACACACGTACACACTATGATTTTTGGTAACGTAACATGCAACAGTCTTCTCCGCTCCGGGACGTCTTCTCATCCGCAATACCGCAGTCCTTGAAGACGAAAATCTTCGAGCTGCGTGTGTTGCCAGGTACGACCTACGGCTCTGAAATATGATCGTTACCATAGGCCTCATAAAAAAGCTCAAAGTCGCTCAACAAACTATAATAATAATAACGCACACACTCAACATAGCCCCGCACTTGGGAAACCCTGCATCGCGGGTGCCATGGACACACACACACAGACAACCACAAATTACACCCAAACTCACGAGAGAAATAAACGTAGGCCATACAAATATTTCTTCCGGCCCGGGAATCGAATCTGGGAACTCTGCGTGGCAGTACGGTAACCGTTGCAGTTGGACTATGAACCGAGACTCGGCATTTCTCTACGTGATCGAATCAGAAATGAGGACATCCGTAGAAGAACAAAAGTCACCGATATAGGTCACAGGATTAGCAAGTTGTAGTGATATGTTCAGCAGTGGACGTCTTCCGACTGATATGATAATGATGATGATGAACATGCAACAGCTACGATTACAGCTCGCTAGTGAGTATCACGCTTAAATGACTTCCATGTGATAAAATCGTTTTTGACGTGTGATCACATGTGGTTTTAAAGGGTACGACATTTTGGCAGTTGGGTTAGTGATATTTATTACACAGGGAAACGTATATTATATATTATAGTTATAGTCTTGTAGTATATAGACAGACTGCTGCAGATAATGCTGTGCATACCTTTAATTTAAATGCTTACATAATACAAGTTTTAAATGGTTTGTTTTTATATTCAACGTATATGTACGTATTAGTTGTATAAATAACTACATTCAACGTTAACCTACGAAACACAATGAGTCAAAAACAAAAAATTACTTAATCCATACGTAAAATAAAATTACACTTAAAAACATTAGTTTTTAAGCTACTCATTCACTATGCTAACTTCCCTGAGAAGAACGAGCAAGAAACTCTAAGGATTGCTGTTTTCAAATAAGTTTTATATGCTATTTAATATACTTTGAATCAAAGTGTGGAATATAGAGCCATGTCGTCTTTCCATTCTTTTAATACATTTTTATCTAACACGTAGCCTTCAACTTTGTAACATAACTTTTCAATTAAAATACTTTTATTGTAAATTTTACTTTAGGAAATGACAATCTTAATATATATGTTCTGGAATCTTATTGTAAAACATATACAGTTACCCATAAAATAATCGTTTACCTTATAATCTTTATCATTAGTGAGTGCAGCCTGTCGAAGCCTTCAACCTTTACGCATCTGACCGGTGCGGATGTTCCACCGATTGTATCTAGAAGCAACAGTCATTCTCATGATAAAATGAATTTTCCATAGATAAAAGTTTTTGCTTATCGAAAAACCTGAGCGCGCAAAAAACTTGACTTAAAAGGGCATCAATTGAATAGACAATTTCCTAGGTACACCTTGTAAATTAACTTTCGACGAACAATTATAATACGGTAAAAACACAGATCCAATAACATTTTGCGGTTTGTTTATGGATTGTATTATTACAAAAGAACCATAATGTTTTTGTTGCAAATAGTACTTTATTTGCCCTTATTTACTTCCGATTTTATAAGTATCTACGTTTTTTAAGCTAAGTCATTGTTATAAGTTGTTTGTAGTTTGATTTTTAGCGATTTGAAACTCTGTTGTTTAATTTATTATGTCCTTTACGTATTTAGGCATAATTTATAAATAACAATTGAGAGTTTCATTAGGCGATATTTTTCTTTACGATTTGTTTCTAATCTCAGACGATTCACGGACATGATATTTCACGCTACGTGTACTCTTTTCTAGAAAAAGGGAGGCGTGACGGATTCTCGTATTGGAGGCCGAGACACACTTTGGGTCACTACCGAAGGCAGTTTTTTTCTAACACGCCCTACGTTTTCCATTATAATGTTATTTGTTGTTTTTATTGGATGGTAGAAAATTGTATCGCTTCGGAGAAAGGATTATGTTCCCTATGCTTTCGCCCCGCGTTAACTCTATGCTAATAACACAACGTCTGCTAATATAATCGTCCGAAATGCATAATTAAGTAGTTTTCTCTAGGTTTGTTGGCTACATTCGGT